AACCTGAAGATTTTGAAGAAGAATATATAGATGAAGAAGAAGTTGGTGAGGAGGAAGAAGAGGAAATAGAAGAAGATGATAAATATGTTGAATATGTTGAATATGTTGATGAAAATGATAACGAATCTCAAAATTGCTATGCATCAAAAAAAAGTGGAGCGATGTGGAGTACCAATGAAAAAAAGGCCAAAATAAGAAGCAACCAAGAAGTCCCCTACTTCCAAATCTCGTAAAAAAGCAGAACCCTCAGCATCTATAACCGTAGATTATGTTTTTCTAATAGCTTTAAAATCTATATTATCATCAGTTGTACAACATATTCCTAAAGAAATTCTTAAGAAAGGTTCTCAATATATTAATACAATATACCCTAAATTGAAAAATCAGATTCTGAATATGGCTATGAAAGATGATACTGTCATGAAAAGGGAAAAAGTATAGGGTATGTTACAAATAAAATTATAGATGTTTTACATCCGCTAATCCAAGCTATAAATATAAAGCAAAAACCTCTTATTCAAGTTCTAATAGAAGAGAAGCTAGAGGGTCACAGAAGGAATGATATAATACTAGTGGGTTCTAATACTCTAAACTATGCTATTAAAGCATATATGATCGCAAAGTGATCTGATCAATATCATTCAGCTGAAAAAAAAATGACCAAATATATTGGCCCATACCACGAGAGATAAATTTTCTTCAAATAAAGGATGCTGATGATGTTGCGATCATCTCCTGTAAAGTGGGAGACGTAACTATTCTCTATGCAATGATTGATAGTGGATCAGACTCGTCTATAGTCTCTGAAAATGTAATAAAGCATTTGGGGCTTAAAATAGATAGAAAGAAGATTCATAGGCTTAATAGAATCGCTAGTAAGTCACACTCCCTTGGAACAATTAACATTGTCCCTATAACTATTGAGGATGGGAAAAATAGAGACACTATTCCAGATGAATTCTCTATCGTCCCTACAGAATATGATGATAGTGGAAAAGAATTATCACTATTTATTCTTAGAACACAATGGCAATATCGGGCTGGATGGGAGCCTTTAATAAAAGGAGAATTTAAGGCTACATGTAACGAAAAGATTATCACCATCCCCCTATCAGTTCACAAATCCCAGCGCAATGTCTTTACTATAGAAAAAGAGCCAGAGCAGGACTTAAAAAAAGTGTGTAAATTGCGTCACTATTGAGGATATGGCAATTCGTATAAAAGAACTTGAAAAAGCATTATTCTCTAGCATCCAATCGAATTTGGAAATTATAGGATACTATAATGGTTTGCTTGACTGGTATGAAAGGAAGGTCAAATAACTACTTAGAAATAAGATTACAACCAGATGCTCTAATTTTTTTTATTTCAGAATTAGTTCTCTTATACAAATCCAAGATATCTTTAGAAGATTCAGTAGGTGAAATAGAATCAGAGACGCAAACAGCCTTGGTTCTCGATTTCCTTCCTTCAGTTTTTTTTGCTTTACTATCTAAAATAACATTTTCTTCTGAAGCGCTAATTTTAGTATTATGTATTTTGTTTTCCAGTGCTATGAAGGCAGAATCGAATTTATTTTGAAATTTTTCTTTCAGTCTTTCAGTTTAGCGTGATCTCTTCAGGATCTGCTTCTCATTCTGTTTATTCATAACGTTCATGCTTAAAATAATTGCTAAATCATTTCATTGAATTCTGTTTAACTCCTGTACTCTCCAAATTTGATATAAGCGACTATTCGATATATTATATTTTTTACTTAGCTGAGCTAAAGGTTTGGACTTCATATCACGGTATTGCATAATGTCTTTATAATCTGCGAGAGACAAGTAACTAGCTCTGGAACTAATATGTATTTTAAGCTGGGGTGTGATCATATTAGTAGCTAATCGCTAGAGATTTTTTTCACTATAAATAAAAAAAAATATACAAAAAATATTGATATTATGCTACTATCAGTATTACGCTACTATCAGTATTACTATTGATACTATACTACTATCAGTATTACGCTACTATTAGTATTATGCTACTATCAGTATTACGCTACTATCAGTATTATGCTACTATCAGTATTACTATTGATACTATGCTACTATCAGTATTACATTACTATCAATATTATGCTACTATCAATATTATGCTACTATCAGTATTATGCTATTATCAGTAATATGGTAGTAACTATAGAAAAAAATAAAGTGTTTTTAGGATCGCCCATATTTTTTGTATATATACTAATGACTAGACTGAAAAAAAATTATATCCAATGTGCATACCTTAAAAGATATTGAGAATAAAGGGGCAGTTGAAGGTTTACTAGGTAAACAAATTCCTCCAGGTCATTGGATTGGTAGCATCCGTGAATCAGAACTTGAGAAAGCATTGCATAGTAGCATCAAAACTGCTTCTGATATTGCTAATGATTATAAAGATCTGCAGGATGTATATTTAGAGAGAGTGAAGGATTTTAATCGTATCTGTTCAGGTTTTAACAATAAGTTTAGTCAGCT